CCCCAGACCCTCCCAAAATCCATCCCCAAACACCCCAAACCCATCCCCAGATCCCCCCAAACCCACCCCTCGTGGTCCCCAAGTGTCCCCATCGCTGTTTTGTCACCCCCCGGGGACCCCACAGACCCCTCCTCACTCACCGGGGGCAGCCTCAGGGCCGGGAGGAAGGGCAGGGTCCCCGCCATGTCCCCAAGTGTCCCCAAGCCCCCGTGACCCCTCGGTGACCCCTCGGTGTCCCCAAACCCCCGTGACCCCTCGGTGACCCCTCGGTGTCCCCACGCCCCCCATGACCCCTCGGTGTCCCCTGTCCCTCAGACCCCGGACCGGAAAGCGGTGTCGGGGCCGGGTCCCCGCGTGTCCCCCGCTGTCCCCTCAGTGTCCCCGCCGTTCCCCGGTGTCACTCACGCTGGGCGGGGGGCAGGCAGATGTAGGTGCGGAAGAAGGGGGACGCGCGCGCCCCCGCCTTGATGCGCGCGGCCAGGGGCCGGCTGAGCTGGCGCGCGCCCAGCGTCAGCAGCTTGGCCAGCGGGAACGCGCCCGCCACCATCCTCGGCCCGGGGGGCGCGCGCGGCGCGACGGGATGACGTTGCGGCGGGCGCTGCGCGCGCGGGGTGATGACGTCACGGCGGACGGCGGCTCGGGGGTTGGACACGCCCCTCCCCCCGCACCTCGGTGGTGGCGCCGCCTGGCGGAGGCGCGCGCTGAAAGGGACACGCCCCCTTGTCTTGGGGACATCGGGGGACACCGGGGGGACACGGGGACATACCTGGGGACACCGGGGGACACAGCTGGGGGATACCTGGGGACACACCTAGGGACACTGGGACACACCTGGGGACTCTGGGACACACCTGGGGACACTGGGACACACCTGGGGACACCGGGGGACACCTGGGGGACACCTGGGGACACACCTGGGGACACCGGGGAACACCTGGGGGACACTGGGGGACACTGGGACACATCGGGGGACAGCTGGGACACACATGGGGACACCGGGGGACACCAGGGGGACACCTGGGGACAGTGGGGGACACTGGGACACCTGCAGGGGACACCTGGGGACACCGGGGGGACACTGGGACACACCTGGGGACACTGGGGGACACTGGGGGACACCAGGGGACACTGGGGACACTGGGACACACCTGGGTGACACTGAGACCTTTGCAAGTGGCAGTGGACCCCCGCGGGTGTCACCCTTGGTGACACTGAGGCTCCTCCCGCGCCCCCCGCCCCTCCCGGGGGCGGTCCCAGCCCGTGCCGGTGCCACCCGAGGGTGACAGAGCCACGGAGCGGTGACACGGGGGAGGTGACACGGGGGAGGTGACACCGGCACCCGAGCCCCCAGGGGCCACCATGGGCCAGCAGGCAGCGACTCCCGCCCCGCTGAGCCACGTCCCGCCCGGAGCAGAGGTGAGACCCCCTCGGGGCCCCCCGATGTCCCCCAATGTCCCCAGATGTCCCCCGATGTCCCCACTGCTGTCTCCGCTGTCCCCCCGCTGTCCCCCGATGTCCCACTCTGTCACCCCGCTGTCCCCGTCGCTGTCCCTCGCTGTCCCCCTCTCCCCCACCGCCGGCTCTCGCTGCTGTCCCCGCTGGTGCCCCCCGATGTCCTCCAATGTCCCCAGATGTCCCCCGGTGTCCCCCGGTGTCCCCCGATGTCCCCCAATGTCCCTCGATTTCCCCGATGTCCCCAGTGCTGTCCCCTGCTGTCCCCCAATGTCCCCCGATGTCCCCCGCTGTCCCCCGATGTCCCCC